CCAAAAAAAAGAGTTCAGAAGAAAATACTCTCAGCTTACCATTGGTCTGTGCACCTTTGGAAAAGTGCCACCTATCTCCTGTAGAGCTGGAGAGAATTTCAGTTCAATAACAAATGTACTTAACTTTTTTGTTTGTTTTTTAACCCAGCCTTGGCAAATGCCACATTATGTATTATTGAACCTGTTATGTCTGTGGAAATTATAGCCCCAAATGAATTTCAGGGAGTAGTAATCGCAGGAATTAACAAACGCCATGGAGTAATCACGGGGCAAGATGGAATTGAGGACTATTTTACACTGTATGCAGACGTAAGTACAATTGGTCATCGACAGGCTTGCACTGTTTTGGTTTGGGTTTTTGAAACACAGTCTTACACTGTAGCTCAGGCTAGCCTGGAAATCACAGCTCTTGCCTCAGCCTCCTGACTGATAGGATTATGGATATTTCTTTTATTATCCACAGGAGATCAGTAAGCTTTAGCTTTTAGAAATGATAGAGCATGCACATTTTTTGAGTATGAGACTTGTATTTTTATGGCAATTTCTGTAATTCACTGTTAGAACAACTCTTAAATGGAAAGCTAAAAATAGGATTCATTGCATCTTGGCCTTTGGTGAATTTTCTGTTTTCTTAGGTATCTAAGTTATTTTATCTTTCCCATTTAGCTTTATTTGCATAGCTGTTAAAAGCTGTAATTCCCTTACCTGAACCTGTCTTGACTTAAATCTTATGGAGAGAAAATGTAGATCAGATTATAGATCGCCTCTGGACAGTCAGTACTGTCATCATATCATTTAAGTTCTCAAAGGAAGGCTTGGGGGTGCAGTTCAGTGTAGAGCGCGTGCCCAGCATGCATGAGGCACTGGGTTCAGTCCCTAGCACCACACACACAACTTATTAACATTCCCACAGAAAAAAATACTTGTGAATTAGTGGCTGGTGGTAGAAAATGGTATAGGAATGAAGAAGGAAGTCAGATCATCAGTGCTGTGTGCTGTGCAATGGGAAAATTTGGTTTCTGCTTGTGCCTGTCAAAATAATTTTCTAATAAGGTTTCCTATCTGGGATAAGACAGGCGTGACTTCAGCTTTTATTTTTTTAAACCTAAAGTTGTCAGTAGAAGCCCAAATGTAAGGTTTTAAATGGTTAATATATCTCTGCATTTTTCTCAAATATTTTTCACCAAGTAGTGCTGAAGTATCTATTATGCTTGTTTTTAGGTCCCTCTAAATAATATGTTCGGATATTCAACTGAACTTAGGTCTTGCACAGAGGTAAGCAACTTTAAGTAGAATTTAAACTTCACTTTAGTGTTCTTCAAAAGAGCACTCTACAAAATAATTACAAAATGAATTATAATGAATTAATTGTAAATTTACTTTCCAATAATTGCAATTTTTTAAATCACAAAATTCATTTTGTGAAATCCTGACTGCATTGCATGACTTGATAGTTGTAAACCTCTCTCCCTCCCTCCCCTTCCTCCCTCCCTCCGTTTTGAACTCATAGGGAAAAGGAGAATACACGATGGAGTATTGCAGATATCAGTCCTGTTCACCATCCACACAAGAAGACCTTATTAATAAGTATTTGGAAGCTACAGGTCAACTTCCTGTAAAAAAAGGAAAAGCCAAGAACTGACCTTCCTTTCTTTGAATTTAGTAACTGGTCAGATCTGCAAGGTTTGGGTGTGATGGATTTCAGTATATGAATTCGGATCATTTAAACCAGTGCCGGAAGTCGTTCTGCTTCCCATTCAGGAGCTTCAGTGGACATGCGAAGATTAATTTGTATATTTAAACTGCATTGACTATTTTTATTGTTTCATGAAGGACCTCAAATAAAATAATATTCCTGAAATATATTTAATATTTATTTAAGGGAAGAAAAGACTAATTTTAGTTTAGAATGTGTATAAATTTACTTTCCAAATTTTTTGAGACAGGTCTCTCTGTGTAGCCCAGGTTGGCCTCAAAACTGAATAGTCCTTTTGTCAAGTGCTGGGATTGCAGGTGTGCAACACTGTGCCTGGACCCCCAATTTGTGTGTGTGTGTGTGTGTGTGTGTGTGTGTGCACACGTGTGTGCCAGAATTTGACCTCAGTGTCTTCCTCAATCACTCTCCACCTTATTTTTTGAGACAGTCTCATTGAACCTGGAGCTTGCTGATTTGATTTGGCTAGACTGGCCAGTGAGCCTTAGGGATCCTTGTGTCTCTGCTTCCCCAGGGCTGGGACACAGGTTCGTGGCACTCCTGGCTTTTTTCACGTGGGTTCTGGGGATTGAACTGAGGTCTTCATTAGTTGCATGTTACTAACAGAGCCATCTCTCTAGTCACCAAATTTTGAATCATGAGAATTTTCAACATGCAAAAAAGTTGAAAGAATAATTCAAGAACAACCATATACCTTCCACTTCGATTCAACAGTCAATTTCAGTGGTTTGCTTATCAAATTCTTTGTCTATGTCATAGACATTGATATTTTAAAGTTATTCTGCTGAGGATATGAAAGTAAAACTTTGTACATCATGACATTTCTTGGAGTGTCATTTAATGAGGAAGCGTTTCTGTTTAAAAGTGGATTCCTCAGCTAGGCCTGGTGGCTCACATACTCAGGAGGCAGAGGTGGATGGATTTCTGTGAGATCAAGGTCAACGTGTTTACATTCTGGTTCCAGACCAGGTGGGGCTACAGGGAAACCCTGTCTCAAAAAGAAAAGAAAAAAAAAAGTGGATTCCTTGTGACCATACCAGAGAGCATTTTCAGACTCTTAATTGGCCTATTAAAATAGTTGTGACTGGTTGCTTAATTGTGTCCTCTGCAGATTTACAACTGCCTCTGTTTTAGGAGTACAAATGTTATCTACAGTCTCATAGTGGGTAAAAACCAGATGTTTACATATGCCATTCTTATTTGTGTTCAGTTTCTGATAAAATAGTTTGTAGAGTTGCTGCCCAATCAGTTCATTCATGTGGTAAATGGTGGTTCAATTTGAGTCAAGTAGGCTTTGTTGTCTACTGTATTCATTGAGATCGTGAAAGAACAGATGTTTGACTTTGGTATCCCAGAGTAAGCTGGATTGTCTCAGGCTGTTCTGTCATACTGTTCAGAATTCCTTGCCCCCCAAACTCATGCCATCCATATTCTAGCCTATCATTTTCTACTGGATAATAGAAATAAAATTGTATTTTTTATTTTTTGTGCTTTTTTGTTTTGTTTTTAAGAGAGAGTCTCGTAACCAAGGCTTGCCCTAAACTCCTGATCTTCCTACTGCCTCTTCTCAAGTGCTGAGATAACATGCAGCATCATATGCAGGCAGCTCTTTTGGTTTTCTTGATGTATAGATTTGACTTTATAATTTTAGAATTTTAGGAAAAAAAGACAAAGCATTGAGCATGTATTTTCAAGACATTTGCTAAAAAGTTTTGGTGCATTATTTAATTCTTACAGCTCTGTGAAAATAAATATTTTACTGTGTGTATTTTGTAATGAGGAGAAAAGGGGCAGGGAAGGTGGATTTTTCCAAGACAGTGCAGTTCATCAAGTTTTCATAGATACTATGGTTAGAGCCATTCACCAAGTCCATTTCCTCATGAGTGTGGGAGCATCAGACCTGAAAAATGGGTTGCTTAGGTATTTCATCTGTACCATGTACCACTCCTGGATACTGTGAATATCATTCCCAATAAAGAGATACTTTGATAAGATGTAGCACAGTCTCTGGCTCTTGAGAATACTCAAAAATTGATGTTTGGATATGTTTTTAATTTGTTAAATATTCTGGTTATAAAGTTACCATATCTGGTTATAAAGTTACAATATCTATGTAGCCAACTCATTACCAGCATTTCATAGGCAATGGCATGGACCCACTTGAGGGGCCGGGGAGCTAGAACAGGAGCCCATAGGAGCAGAGCCAGGACCAGAACACATGTGTTGCTAACTAGTTATATTAGTGATAGTTGGCAAAGACCAAACGAAGTAGCATGGAAACATTCATAAGAAAATTCATAAATGAGGATTATTTTTTTTAATGCTACTATTGTCAAGGATAATTGCCGGCCAATTAGAGGAAATGTTGAGTTGTGTTGACAGTAGGAGCAGCACAGGACCCACTATGTGAATGGATGCCCTCTCCTGACTGACTTCGAAATCTCTTGGAGCTTTAAGAAGAAAAAGCCCTTTCCACCCCTAGGTATCCAGGCTCTCAGAAACATTTCCAGATGATTCCAGCAGTGTTAAGACCACTACAGTGTTACCTGCACTTAGGCCCAAAATATGAAATTAAAGACTTTTGCAATTCTGATGTGTCATGTTAATGTTCGCTGTGTGATACTACATTTTGGGCTTTTGGTTCTTCAGCTGATAACAAACTTTAATTCTGAGATTGGATGAGATTAGACACATTGAGGACAGTCAGACTGAAGATGCTGATCAGAGTTTTCTGTTAACTGCTCTCCTCCCTACAATTACGTAGTTCGTAAAAGCAACAAAAAAATCAGTTCTGAAATTTAGGAGTTTTTATATTTTAGTGTTTCTACATCTCCAGTCCTAAATTTGGCAGCCACCAGGAAGAAGTAAATTGTGACATGTTGGAACATAATAGCCCTCAGTAGAAGATAGCTATTTGCATTGCTAAAACTATAAATTGTTGAATCAGTTTTAATTGCTACTTCAAATAACACTGCAGTGCTTAATTGAAATAAATTGTGCTCATAGAAAATATATTTGGGCATTCATTTATTTATTCATCCACATATGTGTCAGGTAGCACATTAGGTGATTGTTGGTGCTGCATTGAAAGCTAGGAAAGGTCACAGAACAGACAGCATTTTCTAAACTGAAAATTAGCGTTATGAATGAAACTGCCATGGAGGGCTGACACTGAAATACAGAGGCTGCTGACTGACTTTCAGATGAATTTGTGTCATTTCTAACAATTTATCGTTTTAGTATGAAAAAAATGGAACTTGAGTAAAATAAAATGGAATTACAGATAAAATCCTGGTACTACTTTTGGTATGTCTGAAAGTTTGCCAGACTTGATGTCCCACACCTTTAGCCCCAGCACTCTGAGGGCAGAAGCAGGTAGATCTCTGTGAGATTGAGGCCAGCCTGGTCTAGAGTAAGTTCCAAGCCATCCAGGGCCACATAGTAAGACACTGTCTCAAAAAAAAAAAAAAAAAAAAAAAAAAAAAAATTTTAAGACACTTCCAAAAAAAAAAAAAAAAAAAAAAAAAAAAGCAATTTCTGGAGGTGTTTGACAATAGATACACTGTCACTAGTGATTCAGTATTTATAGTAGTTGTTCAAAGGGGGCTTGGGGAATTTAGTTTTCCAATGTTATGCCAAGGCAAGTGAAGTATTTCTCTTAGCAATAAAATCAATGTTAATAAAATCAAGTTAGCAATTTTAGTGTCCATGTTAGAAAAGACATTCTGATGACAGTGTTGAGAAATTTTTACAATAGATACACTGTCACTAGTGATTCAGTATTTATAGTAGTTGTTCAAAGGGGGCTTGGGGAATTTAGTTTTCCAATGTTATGCCAAGGCAAGTGAAGTATTTCTCTTAGCAATAAAATCAATGTTAATAAAATCAAGTTAGCAATTTTAGTGTCCATGTTAGAAAAGACATTCTGATGACAGTGTTGAGAAATTTTTAGTTGGTTTAACTTTTGTGGGCTTTACAAATTAGATAATTATGTTTATATGTTGTTATACCTATTTGGCTGAATTATGGTCACTTTTGTAAGCCTAATGGAAAATTCCTTTTGAGAATCAATTCTTAGAGAAAGCTAAAATACCCTGTAAAAAGGTCTCTTTTTGCCAGGCGAGGCGGGGCATGCCTTCAGTCCCACCACTTGGTGTGGGAAGCAGGCGCAATCGAGCCGGCCAAGATGGCGCCCTGGCTGGCTGCCAAGCCTCGTGCCCCTCACTTGTTTACTCCAACCTGCGTAAGCACAATAAGCCCAATCATGTGCTGCCTGCTTGATCAGAGACATCATCGAGTATGATCCTGCTACGTGGCCCAATAAGCTGCCACTCTGCCTGCCCGCTACGTGTGTGTGTGTGCCCTGATTGGTCCTGGCTGGGGGGAGGGCTGTTGGGAATGCTATATGAAGAGCTGAAGTGTGTAATAGAGGGAGAGAGTGAGAAGAAGCCTGAACCTCACCTTGGTGTCTGTGTCATCTTTCCTCGGCTCTGCTGGACGGAGTCGTGGCTTGCGGTAACTTGGGAGGCAGAGGCAGGCGGATCGCTGTGAGTTCAAGGCCAGCCTGATCTACATAGTGAGTTCAGGTCAGCTGGGACTACAGGGAGACCCTGTCTCAAAAAAAGACAAAAAAAAAAGTCTCTTTTATAGTCTTTACTGTGATATTAAAATAATGATTAAAGATCACAGGACAGGAGCTAGAGAGATGGTCCAGTGGTTAAGAGCAGCAGCTGCTCTTGCAGAGGACCTGGGTTCGATTCCCAGCACCCACATGGCAGCTAACAACAACCATCTGTAATTCCAGTTCCATGGGATCCGATGCTCTCTTCTGACTTTCCTGGGCATTGCACAATACAGGGTGCGATTACATATATGCAGGCAAAACACTGATACACATAGAATAAAAATATTTGTAAAAGATTACAGGACATCAAATGTGCTATAATAATGTTCATGGGGTTTTGTTTTGATTTTTTTGAAACGGTTTCTCTAGCTCCAGCTGGTTTGGAACTCTATGTAGACCAGGCCTGCCTCTGCTTCCAAGTACTGGGATTGAAGGTGCTCATAGGGTCCTTTAGGGAACTTCCCTTAGAAGACTTTCTCTTGCTTTATTCTGGCTTGACTCAATCATTGCATATTGTTTCTTTGATATTTTATAAGGTGCTTCTCTTCATTATTGTACAGGTGGGAGAACCTTTAAATGTTCGCTTCACAGCATTTAGAACTTGTTAACATGAGTAGATGTCAGGAAGCTAAATGGAACCATTTGGGATTTTAAGTAGAAAAACACATATTAGATCTGCACATAGTTCTTTAAGATTCCATGTCTAAAATTGTTCTCTAATAGTACAAACTAAGTGGTGTAGTTCACCTATGAGATGAACCTAGGACAGGACCTTTTTGACTTGACAATGGTAAGAAAATGAAAAGAAGCCTTTTGGAGAACTATGTGGAAAATTGTGTTCTTGCCCAAGCCAACAATATACTATAATATTCTGGAAATTTGGGGCAGTGACAACACATAGCTTTGTCAGCCACATGAGCACAAGGGTATACAGCTAACACTACGATGTTGCTATGCTGGGATGTTATGTAGGGTAGGGGTATTAACTGCACTTCCAGCCTCTGGCATTTTCAACTTACAGTGGGCTTCTGGGACATAACTCCCATTGTAAGTCAGGGTGCATCTGTTTATACTGTTTTAAGGCTGGTGCTTCCTAATCAATTACTGGCCAAGGAACCTGGCTAAAGGGTTTTAGACACTGATATAAATGTCTGGACACTTACACTAATTATGAGAGGCAGATGATTGCAACATCTCCTGGATCAATTCTTCCTGCATTGAGGGCAACATATCCTGGATCAGTTCTTCCTGCCTTGAGGAAGTACGTCACTGAATTTGATTATGGTACATACTATGTTTGCTTTTATAGGTTACTTATGCCAACACTGGGTCCAAGTTCTTATAAGTAAAAATGTAAATATTTATTTTTGGTTTATTTATTTATTTATTTATTTATTTATTTACAGGCTCTCTCTGTAGCCCCAGCTGGCCTGGAACTTGCTATGTAGAACAGGCTGGCCTCAATCTTACAGAGATCCACCTGCCTCTGCCTCCTGAGCATACATATACATACATACATATATACATACATACATACATACATACATGTAAGATGCAATCACAATATAGTATGTATTATTTTTAAATTCATGTTTGCAGACAGCTTTATCATGAGAGACACTGAAAACTACTTGTGAGATTTGAATAAAAAATAATAGGATTTGATTTCATTCCAAGTTAGCACAAATTTTGCCATGCATAGAAAGTTTTCAAACACATTTTATTATTTAGAAACAAACATCTCTATGAAAGTAAATATCAAGTTAAAAAGGAATACTTGCTTAAAATAATAAAATATAGTAAAATTTATTAAACAGCTAATATTTCCCTACAATTTACTTTCATTGAAAATATATTTGTTGATATAAGTAGGAGTAATTTAGCAACACAAAATAGCTATAATATGTGCAAAATAATGAAAAATACAAATTTAGAGATGAAAACAACTTTTTGAAAGCAATTTTCAACCATCTGCAGCATCTACTAAACGGCTGGATTTTACATTAGGACAGAAACCCCAGGAATGTGCAGTGACTGCTCAGCCTTAAGCATTTAAGGCACATACATGCTCTCACAGTTAAACACAAAAAATCAACTAAGAAACAACCCAGCTCTTTGATTTTGAGCATTTACTTGGAGTCTCTGGCTCGCTTAAGTAACTAGAATGCCTGGAACCTTTGCTCTTGTGCTAGTAGGCTAGTAGAGTCATTTGGCCTGGGATATGATGTAAGCAGATTGGTTTTTTTTCTTTTAGAAATTGCTGAGCTCTGTAGGTGCCATAGCTGATCCTTCCTCAGTTCCAGAGGCTTCTGGGCTCTGCAGCTCTTGACACTGGTACTTCACCTTAAGTGGTTTACCAGGGTACCAGACCAAGTGAATGCGACAGGGTATGATTTCCTAGGAAATAAAGGTCTAAGTATTAGAACCTGCAAAAACTTGAAGTAAAAACAGTTTTCCATGCAATTTTGCATTTTACCTGTGTTGGGAATTCATGAAGTAGAACAGTATAATCAAAATCAATTGCATCATCATTGGTTTTCTAGGGGAAGAAAAAAAAGAGTGTAAGAGATCCCATGGGTTTCTGTGAGCTCAGAATTTGGGAGGTCTGTATCATACATTCTGGCTGGAGCCTTAGCAATTCTGCATTTTAGATTTCAGCCTGCCTTTGGGAAGCTTCTGTATCAAGTTCTAGAAGTCATGGATTCTCATTTAGGTTTTGTCAGTTCTCTGGAAGCCTGTTGGCGAGTCCTTACCACTTTTTCTCTCCGATCTCTTACAGTTTTTGTTGAAGGTTTTGTTAACAGTTTTTATTGTCTGAGGATACGAGACTCTTTTAACAACACAAGGGATCTAGATGCTGTATACACACCTCTGATAGGTTAACTCTACCCTACTCTGGTAGACAAAGGGAAAAGGACAAAGTTTCTAGAATGACTACCATGGGCCAGATTCTGTGCCAGGTGATGGACACACAGTCTCCTAGGATTTTTCTGTCTTACAATAGTACAGATCGTGAGCCAGGTTTTATAGAAGTAGGGTATGTGACAAGTAGGAATTCAAACCTGGTCTGACTCGCTATCATGTTCTCTCTTTTTTTTAAGACTTATTATTTATGTGTCTATGTGTGAGTCTGTATGGGTTTATGTGCACAATGTGTGTGCAGGAGCCAGGGGAAGCTAGAAGAGGGCATTGGATCCCCTGGGACTAGAGTTACAGGAAGCTGTGAGACCCTGAGTATTGGGAGCTGAACCTGGGTCCTCTACAAGAGCAGTTAAGTGTTCCTAACCTCTGAGCCATCTCTCCAGCCCCACCCCCACATTCTTCATGTGTACTATGAAACTCATATTTCTAAAACCAGTGCATTAGATATGGCTTGGTAGGCGGGCAGCTGTCCTCACCCCTTTATTTACATGATTTTTATACATTTTGTTAATAAGTCAATTTTCTATTTTCTTTTTAATACTCCCTATTTTATATGCAAAAAAGTACCTATCTCTTTACTAATAAAGGGATTTTAAAAACTCAAATTTGAGCCGGGCGTGGTGGCGCATGCCTTTAATCCCAGCACTCGGGAGGCAGAGGCAGGCGGATCTCTGTGAGTTCAAGGCCAGCCTGGTCTACATAGCGAGTTCCAGTTCCAGGACAGCTGGGGCTACAGGGAGACCCTGTCTCAAAAAAAAAAACCCAAAAAAACCCAACTCAAATTTGGACTATAACTTTAGTCTTAGACCAGGGTTTTAGTGAGGTTACTAAAGAATATGAAAAAGCAAAGAGAGTTAGGCTTTGTCCTTGTTTTCCCTACATTGAAGGAGCTTTTCACAAGCCAAGAAATGTGTAATAGGTGAGGAGGGTGCGGCAGGAGAAGGTGCAAGAGAGGACGAGTGTGGGTCAGAAGTCTGCTCCTGTGCGTGGCTTCCTTGCATTATTGACTAGCTTCTCTCCTGCCTGTTCAAATAACTGAGACACAAGCCACAAAATCAGAGAATTCACCAGAGAAAGTTTAGTGCCTCTTTCATAAGAGAGTAATTTATCAGTGATTCAGGTACAGCTGGCCTTCTACGTCTGTGGGTTCACACCCAGGCATGCAATCAACCAAAAGTAGGAAAAAAAATTATTATTATTATTATTTTTTACAAATTTTGTCTGAAGGTGGGCTGTGACTAGGGAGACCCTGTCAAAAAACAATCAACAGAAAAGCCAAAAAATTTTTTTGTGCATATTGAACTTGCGCTGACACAATTTTCTTGTCATTTACTAAGCAACGCACTATAACCACTGTTTACATAGTCTTTACATTGTAACTAAGGAATCTAGAGATGACTTAAAGGTCGTGGGAGAATATATTTAGCTCAAATACAGACACTGTGCCATTTTCTATTAGTGACAAGCATATCTTATACGAGGGGATAACTATATCAGTCTGGTGCTGTTTGGGAAATGAGTATTTATTTGGCTTTGCTTGGCCTTCGTTTGGTAACTGCCTTGACCTTGGAAGGAAATGGTTACCCAACCCAAGATGTTCCACACCAGCGAGCTGCTGTTGTAATTGTCTCAGCCTCACCTGGACTATTTCTCAAGGCCTGACTTTACCATGTATTCTTATAATTTAAAACTCAGAGTTGGGCATGGTGGCTCATGCTTTTAATCCCAGCACTCAGGAGGCAAAGTTAGGTGGATCTGTACAAGTTCGAGGCTATCCTGGTCTGCACAGCAAGTGCCAGGTCAGCCAGCTAGGGCTACACAGGGAAGTCCTACCTAAAAAAGCAAAAAAAAACCCCAAAAAAATTGGTTTTACATATAAACTTACATTCTTCAAGACAAGCTGCTTACCATTTGTTACCCTTTTTTTTGGGTGGGGTGGGGGAGGTGGGGCTTTGCGTTTTGTTTTTTGAGATAGGGTCTCATGTAACCCAGACTGGTCTTGAACTCTATGTAGCTGAGGCTGGTCTTGAACACCTAATCTAACTGCCTCCACCTTTTTCAGTACTGCGATTGCAGGCAGACCTGGTTTTGAAAGCAGCATTTTTGCAGGAAATTGTGGCAGTCTCCAAATTTTAGGCAAAAAAAAGAGGCTGGGACTCTAAACAGTGGAACCCCATCTCCATTTAATGAACTCTTTTGCTCAAAGCACAAAGAGTAGGCTCTGACTGTAGTGCAGTGGCAGAGACCTGCCTAGCATCTGTGAGTCCCTAGGTTCAGTTCCCAGCAATGCCAAAATAAAAATAAAATCACAAAGAGTTTTTATTACCCACTTTAAATGTAAAAATTGATTTACAGTCCCCTGTGATTAAGACCTTCCTTAGTAAAGGTACTGAAACACATTCTTACATTGCTGCTTGTAGAGATTCTTTCTCCTCCAGGAAGAAAGGCCTTCAAACCAAACCAAGAGACGGCTTCTTACAGATCCACAAAAGTGAACAGTGCATCTCCCAATCTGGCAAAGGATGCTAGCACTGGACTGCCCTCACCAGGCCAAGGCCTGCCAAGAAGTCATTATTTTTAATACTGTTCAGAAATAATCTCTTTAGCTTCTATTCAAACCATTACAAATGCCAAGCCTTATAGTCCAAATTGATGCTGATTTACTGTTACAGTTTTTGGTAACTTAGCACTTTAGTCTTCCTGGAAACTATGTGGAAAGTCTCGTTTGTTCCCCTTTCCCTGTTACCCATCCTCCTACATCCTGCATCCTCCTAAGGAAAAAAATAAGACCTAACAGAGCTCATGTGGTTTCAGTGGAATCATTGGACTTAGGTTAATAATAAAAGTGATCAAAAAGAGACTTCTCAGCAGAACTGATAGAGTCGGTGAGGTAATTTCTGTAAATGTATCTTGTGTTAGTGGAGAGTAAGTGGGGGTGAAGTCTGGGGCTGACATGATGAGGGCTGCTGGTCAGACAGAGTGGTTATGAGATGTACTGGTGGATCGGAGTTCAGAGAATACATAATTGTACTTTTCTTAATTCATATTAAAGGCTGGGGGTACAAGAAAAGTCCTTACCCATGTTTTTCCTTAGCCAGTGTGTCTCCCTACCCTTGGTATAGCCCTTGTAGTATTGGGAATGCCATCTGTTCTTCAGGTCTAAAGAAGCAATTGTGGCTGCACATAGGCCTTTTTATAATTCTATTTCAGTACCTTATTTCCTTACAGTATTACATTAACAGCTAAGTTCAACCCTGACTATTAAGATAATAATTCCTACCCAGAAAGTTCTTGAGAAACTATAAGCCCTCTGCTTTCTCAGCACTCCAGTGATTTCCTGCCTCTGAGGATCTTGACTTTTGCTTGTTTTGCTACTGAAAGACAGTGGGATTCCTTAGTGAATAGCAGAATTGAAAAGTCTACGTGGCTGTGTACATACTGTAAGCTTTTAAAAGAACCCTCAGCCAAAATGTTCAGCCCACTGCTCCTGTGATTCAAGTATATGGTAGTTTCAAGGGTTTCAATCAGTTTTCTAATCTTCAAATAGTCCCTAGGAGATAGACTGATTTGCTCTGTGACTCAGTGAGGCAGTTGTATATTAAACTATTATTTATTTAAAACTCAAATCCCATAGGGTAGAAAAACCTAAAATTCTTCATGATCATACTTTCTTATTTTTAAAAATTGTGTGATTTACATGTGTATGGACCAATTAGAGGAGACTCAGGGAGAGGAGAGGCAGAGGGAGAGAGAAACATAGCAAAACAATGAGGGCTGTAGCCTGAATTGTTATATAGAAACAGTCAGAGGGTAATTGCTATTTAAAAGCACTCCATAAAAAGATCAGTAAAGAAAAACTGGGTTCTATTTGATCTTGTACAAATGGCCTTTGGAAAGCAGACCAAATTATTGACATTAAAAATACTGATACAATGTTTGGAAAATCCCTCAGAAGATACTGATTGCCCATCCATTGGTGAATCCATGAAACTGGTACTTACAATAGGTTCAGCTTTATTCTGGAAATGCCTCTCTCCCTGTATCACATTTACCTGACAAAAATCCCAACCCTGGTTCAGTGCAGCTGTTTGCCTGCTTGACTCCGCTGAGAGTGAAAGGTCCTCAACTCCAACCTTTCAAGGGTCTGGGGTTCTAGCTATTAACCTCACATTCCCAACACAGCCTCCCTCAGCTGATGACACAGCAGGTAGCAGAGAACTCCCACTCACTCCTGCCTGGGCATCTACTTGGGACTAGCATCTGGGCTGCCGTTCCTACTTTCCGTCCAGGTGAACTCCGTGCTCCTGTCAGATCTAAGGTTCTAAGAATAGGATTCAGTTTTCACACAACTGTCTTCCTCTGTCTCTCTCTCTCTGTGATCTCGTCCAGCCAGTGGCTTTAAATACCGTCTACATGGGCTTGATTACAGCCCACCCCTCTCTCCTGCACACCAGTCATGCATGACTAGATGACTATACAGATTGTCTTCTTGCCACAAATCAAGACAATTTCCTCTAAATCTGTTCTTCCTATAGTCTTTTCCAATCAATAAATGAAAACTATCCTTCTAGGTTAAGGCCCAAATCCTGAGAATCACTCCTTTAACTCTTATCATTTTATCATGTCCCTTGCTAGATCATAAGCAAATACTGTCTGTTTGCCTGTCCGTTTGCCTGTCCATCTACTTGTCTCCAAACACTTCACCACCTCCACTGCTGCCCCTGTCTAGGATACCCACAGGGCCCCATGTCCTCTTTGCCTCTCGGCATTCTGTTCTCAGTATGGTGCCAGAAAGATCCTGTGTAATCATGTTACTCTTCTATAAAAGGATAAAGAAAGACCCTTCTAGTGACCTTCACAGACCTCACATGAGTGAACCCCTTCCTCTTGCCTGCCATTCATCTCTTGGCCTGCTCAGTTCCTCTGCTTACTCCGTTCAGCCACCTCAGCCTCCGTGTGCCTTCCCCAACCCATCAGCCACACTGCTGCCATGGCTTCCTGTCTAAAACTCCCTTCCCATGGAGCTGGAGAGATGGCTCGGGGGGTTAAAAGCACTCACTGGCTGCTTTTACAGAAGACCCAGATTCAGTTCCCAGCACCACATGGTGACTCACAATCATCTGTAACCAGTTCCAGGGGATCTGATGTCCTCTTCTGGCCTCTGCAGACACTTACATACAAAACACTCATACATATAAAGTTAAAAAACAAATAACATATTAAGATTCCCTTCCCTTACAGGGGACATGGTTCATACTCGGCTTCTCCAACGTCACCTTTGTTCCTATTAGCCTTACCTTGACTATATAAGTTGCCATTCTATCAAGATCCTGTACGCCCTTTTCCCTACTTTTTTCCCCATAGCACTTACCATCATTTGATACATATTTATTGGTTTATTAGCTGACTGTCTTCTCTTACTAGAATTAATGTTACTGAGGCCAACAATGTTGTATTTCTGCCAGCTGTTAAATCCTCAGTCCCTAAAACAGTACCTGGGCCATTGCAGACACTCAGATATCTGCTGAATGAAAGGCATGCCCTGCAGTCCTACATCTCCCCTAGTTCAACCTGTGAGCACCTCATGGCTGAAACTCTGCTGGCACCAGCTAATCTTCAGATGCTTACCCACTGCTTCACACTGCTGAGCTGGGCCATGTAGTAATTCAAAAACTGGGTTGTCTTCTCCCACATCACATAAGAGCTGCCAAGAAAAGCCAAGTCCCAGATAGGTCTCAGTGAGGGATCAATGTGTCCATGACTATCTGAGGAGAGAAAGGCATATTTGTACTAAAGCATTTAGACAATATTGGAGAAGTTTCAGTAATGACATTGGAAATGCAGTCCTATCAGATCGTCTCGCAGCAGCATCCCGAGCCTGATATGTGGTTTGTTCATATCTGTTTCTGTGTTAGCATGTAAATTAAATGCTTCAACCTGCCATGCTGAGCAAATTTATTATAAACTGAATGGCTATTTGCTGTACTACATATGTAAAGAGTAACAGCTCCAGTGATACTAAATGTTAGTGGAGAAGCACTAATTCAGTTGAAAAGCCCACCATCCATTTTCTTGTTATCTGGTGGCTTGGCTTTAAAGCCAGGGCCATGGTCTGTGTATGTCCTCCTAACTGGTGGTTTTAAAGCTCTCAGTGAATTAGCATCTCTGTCACTTTTGAAACACATGAAGAAATGAGATGTCTTTTCCTGTGGCATTGTTTTTTTGACCTTTTTTTAAAAAAAAAAAAATCCAGCAAACACTTTTAAAACCCATTCAATCAGACAGTCAGAGGTAGGGATGCAATGATATTTACTTTCTGTGACTTTTAGAAACTCACATTTTAGTAAGTTATAACTTCATATATCATCATCTTGTACAATTCAGTAGGGATGGTCTATGTATAGGCCACTAGTAATATGGCACGTGAGGAATTCAAGGTCATTAGGAAACGAATTCATGTTGACAAAATAATCTTGAGCATAAATCTTATTTGTTGGTAGAACTGAGCTGACTGATTTGTAATGATGACACACCATTCAAAGATTACTCTCTGATGACTTGGTGCCTGTGGGCAGCATAGAAATACAGGTGAAGCATTCCTTGAGACAGAGCTGAGGGACAGTCAGGGGCGGGGTTAATCTTGGACTGGAGAGCTTGGGGGAAGGCTTCACAGGACTGAGATTTGGGGATTTTGCTGTCCTGTGGGCGTATGAGTGAGAAAGTGAGCTGAGGAGGGCAACCGCAGGCTGGGACGCGGGGCTGGTCCTGAAGGGGTATAAATACATTGGCATCATACTGTGAACAGACTTGTGTGCAGAGCCAGGGTGGGTATGGGCTCTGCCTCAGTAGGGAGTCTGGGAAGATGACAAACTGCCATGTGCAGGACAGACTGGAGGAGACTGAAATCTAAGGGACCAGAGAGGAGGTTGTTGCAGTAGTCCTAAGAAGAAGTACCGCAAGTGTGAAGGATGGTGACTGGACTTAGAGAGGGAAGGATGGGTCCAAGATGCTTTGTGGAGGCGACTTCATAGAAGATGGCAAATTATTAAATATTTGGAGGTGGAGTGGAAATGACCAAAGTTCTTAGCCAAACACTAGGAGAAATGTAACACCATTAAATAAGCCAGAATATGCAGACCTTTGGAGGAGGGAGCAAGGTTAGTTTGGTATTAGATATATGAAATTTGGATTTAAGAAAACCTTAGAAGTAGATGATGTAAATTGCTACAGACACATTAATTAAGGAAGTCCTGAAAGAGCAAGAAAGCCATTAGGTGTGGGGATTCATGGTCCTGGGTGACTGAGAAACAACCATTTCAGTTATGTAGGGTGCAGAAGGTGAGTTAGGAATGGAGGAGGCTGAGCAGTGTGAAGAGCGGACAGAATGAGGAGGAGGGGGGCAATGGTTTTATGAAGCACTTGGCCAACAGCACTGTCTCTGGGGCAAGACCAGGAACTGGTGGACAAAAGAGTATAGAAGTGAGAAGGATACTGATAGATCATGGAAAGAGGGGATGGAGAGATGGCTCGTCAGTTAAGAGCACTGGCTGCTCTTTCAGAGGACCAGGGTTTGATTTCCAGCACCCACATGGCAGCTAACAACTGTCCATAACTCCAGTTCCAGGGGATCCGATGTTGTCTTCTAACCTCCCCAGGTACTGCAGGACATGGGCACACTTACATACATGCAGGCAATACACTCATACACATAAAATAAAACTACTTTTTAAAAATCATGGAAAGAGAGAAACCAGAATCAAGGATATATTAAGAAAGATTCTTGGAGAGAAAAGAGAGTTGGGGAAGATAAGAGACTTGGTTGGGTGCAAAGAGGATGTGGAAGCAGTGAACCAGGGAGATGGCTCAGTGGGGTAAAACTACATGCCATGCAAGACAGATGACCCGAGTTCAATCCCCAGAACCCACAGAAAGGTGGAAGGAGAGAGCTGATTCTGTACAATTCTCTTTGACCTCCACATGCATACGCATACAACCACATGCAGACATCACACAATAATACATAAATTAACAAGATTTAGAAAGTGAGGAAGCAAATGCTCTCCTCAGTAAAGCAGAAGGCAAACTCTCACTGCAGGTGTGGGAGGCCAAGGTGCTGTGTGCTAGAAGAAATGGAAAAGCTCTACACATTGTTCTGTAGTGGGCAGTAAGGCATTTGAAGTGGTAAGGAAAGTGCCGGGGGTCCAGCACCTGAAGAGAGCTTTTAGAACCTGTTGAGAACAAGGCACAAAGGTATTGGTTTCCTGCATTGCCGTCTTGCACTACTATACGATTCCTCCAGGGCTTCTGAAAGTCCCATAATGCCCTCTATTTAGTTACCATCCAAACACCTACCTCCACACTTAGAATTGAGCACTGGAGACGTCTTGAAGTAATTTCTTTAACCTGGTTGTCATTCTACCAGCATATACCAATCAACAGGAAGCTGTGCCGGTTTTTATTGTTACTATAAAACGTTTAGACTTGTACTTTCTGACAAGATTACCTGTTGCAGGTTCTCCTCAGGCCAGCTGTGAAGACCCTAACCTGGATCGGGTCCCCTGCCGATTAGGGGGTAAGAGGCGTGGGGTCATGACACACAGACCCTCGGAGTTGGGTAGAAGCAAGCACTAGGTGAGGTGCAGGAGGCACACCTTATATCTCCCTTTTCTCTGCCCCCAAGTCCCTTTAGTCAGCGTATAGTTTTCTGATTGGTCTGCGCCATGCAGTCTGTCAGCAGTCACTGGTCTGGTGAGCAGGGTACCCAGGTGTGGGCTCCTTTTGGCGGGCTATTTGTGGACCAAGAAGTGAAGTGAATGGTCACTGAATCCCAGGGCTCTGGGTCCACGCCATCTTTGGAGGCCTCCTGCTACAATTACCCTCAATTTATGAATGAATTTGTAGTTTCTCCCTCATGTGAGCAGCTGAATCACTAGGATTCCAAGACATGTGATGTAGGACTCTGAAGTCAATATAACAGTATTACTAGTATAGGGTTCTCACCATCTGTTTTTTTGATGTTGGTGGTGTTTTTTTTTTTCTTCTTTATCCATTGATTGAAAACTTACTTTGTGTTGCTCACCAACACTTTCTCTTACTGCACTACTATGAGTTAGAGTTGTGATATCCAAATTCAGTACTGTTGAAGACAAGTGAATTACCCTAAATCCTGTCACTAGGGAGGACATTTGGCAGGGTAAGTGTTTCCAGCAAGACATGTTCCTGGTCATTCACAGGTCCTTGACTTTTTCCTCTGTATACAGCTTAGGTTCCTCTATGGGAAGTTTGTCAATTCACCAGAGAATGTGAATTAATTAGCCTTAATAAAAGCAAGATAACTACTTTTTAAAAATATTTCTATTTATTATTTTTATTTTATATGTATGTGTGTATTGCCTGTGTGTAGGTAAGTGAAGCCCTGTCATGCAATGCCCACAGAGGACAGAAGAGGCTTTTGGATCCCCTGGAACTGGAGTTATGGACAGTTAATACCCACAGAGGACAGAAAAGGCTGTTGGATCCCCTGGAACTGGAGTTACGGACAGTTGTTAGCTACCATGTGGGTGCTGGGATTCGAATCTGGGTCTTCTGTAAGAAAAACCGGTGTTCTTAACCGCTGAGCTATCTCTCCAGCCCCAATAAGTATTTTTTTAAAGGGAGGAAAGCAATGTGGAGCAAGAGTAGATCCTCTTGCTTACTAAACTACAAAAGTTCAAGTCCTTGGGTTAATTAAATATCAACTAGAAACTACTAAAATTTGAAGTGGCTACTCCAGGCCTATCACCATAGCTTGGTTCAATCTAAAACCATCCCCCCTTTAAAAAATTTTTTTCAATAGGTAGTTTTACATTCATGAACAACTAACATGAAAAAGAATCCTCTACTAAGATTACTTTTAAGATCTGTGTCTTTGTGAGTATATACACGTGTGTGTGTGTGTGTGTGTGTGTGTGCATGTGAGGAGGCCAGAAGAGGGTATCAGATCCCTCAGAGCTGGAGTTACAAGTGATTGTGGGATGCCTGGCTTGTTACATGGGTGTTGGAATCTGAACTTGAGTTCTCCTAAATTTCACAACAAATGTGCTTAACTAAAGAGCTATCTCTCCGGCCCCAAGATTTTTTGAAGTTTCATAGTAGCCAAATTAAATTAAACTGGGACTGGAGAGATGGCTCAGTGGTCAAGAACACTGGTTGTTCTTGCAGAAGACCCGAGTTCAAATCCTAGCACCCACATGGCAGCTAACAACTGTCCATAACTCCAGTTCCAGGGGATCCGATAGCCTCTTCTGACCTCCACAGGCATTGCACGACATGGGTGCACTTACCTATATGCAGGCAATACATGCATACACATAAAAATAAAAAATAAAATAAAATAATTTAAACTGTTATAGAATGGCCCTAATGAATACAGAAGATTTAAATGAACAAGATCCAGCTGATTTGTTCTATTGAAAAGTGTCCCAAAGCTAGTGATACTTTTGCAAATATATTCCTAGAAAGTCATATACAATTTTAAAATCTATGTTCTTCTTAAAGTTTCAAATATTTAGGTTTAATTTAATTATGTGCACATGTGTATGTCTGTCTGTGGGTCTGTGCATGTGAGTGCAGGTGTTGGTGTATGCTGAGATGGTTGCTGGGAATTGAAATTAGGTCCTCTGTAAGAGCAGTACATGATCTTAACCATGGAGCCATCTCTCTAGCTCTTAAAATCTGTATTTCAAGAGCAGTAGATGGAGAGATGGCTTAATGTAAGAATGTGTACTGCTCTTGCAAGAGGACCCACATTGGGCAGCTCACAACCACCTATAACTCCAGCTCTGGGGACCTGATGCCCTCTTCTGGACTCTGCAGGCACATGCACCCCCACACATATACATAACTAAAAATCAAAATAAATCTTTAAAAAAGATCAGTAGATGAGGCCTATTTCCCCAACTAAAAGGGGAAGATCCCTAAATAACTAGATTTTTAGACATTAGTCATTAGGTCCCTTACTACAAGCAGTAGTAAGTATGAGTATCTTCTACAACAATATGAGATTTTTGAATTCTCATAACTCCTTGTCTCTGGATTTGATTTTTCAAAGAAGTATTAGGTGAGAAGCATTCAAGGGTCTGATTGTAGAAATTGCAGGAAGCAGTCTTCATTACTGACATTTAGTCAGTGTCAGTAAATGGGGGACAGATGCACTCGGAAATGATCCTCAGGTGTTAATGTGGAATCAGGGGTATCTGAGAGAATGAACAAGCTGTGAGAGCCTGTGGGATGAAGAGTGCTGTAGTGGTCAGATGTCAAGCTTAATTCCTGAGTGCAAGTCCAGAGATGACTTCTGCGGTTTGGGAAATTGGATTTGCCAGTAAGTGCTGAACCTCTTTTGAATGCCAAGACAAATGAGCTCTTCTCTACTCCAGCTGAGTCACCACAGAGGACAGGGCCCATCCCTTAGAAATGGCACCATCGCCCATTAGCCACTGACCTGAAATGAGATAAACATGACCCCACTGCAGGAGCCCAAAATGGCCCTGACAGTCACTCAGCCAGCCGTGGGGTGGAGGGGCAGAGTGCAGGCGTGGAGGGTGTCTTGTCAGCTCAAGCTTCCAAGGCTACCAACCAAAACCCTTGAGAAATGTCGCCTCGGGTTCTAGACTCACTCTCTGAAAATTGCACTGCAATCTGCATGTCCTATCGCAAAGACCGTTTATTTGGAGATTCAGCTCTTGCCCTCAATGTGGGATGCAAAATGAGCAGATAAAGGGACTCATAGCCTTTGATGGAGTTGGGATATTCTAGAGAGATGAACAGAAAATGACACCTGTGAGCATTGTTCAACTAATGAGGCACATTATAATCCGTAGCTGAATTTTAGCGCCACTCCAGGGATTCAAATTTAAATACTCAATTCTTTCTAAGATTTACTAATTACACATATTTCCGAATATAGAAATCTCAGCTACTGATTCCTACCAGGTATGCTGACGATGTCCAAAGGGTTCTTTAATTGCTTCATTTGCGTGTAAAGCACATAATCCTCTTGTTGGCTCTTCATTTTCTCAATGAGCTGTGTGCAAGTTACTTTAATGGCTGGTCTCGGTTTGTGATTCTTAAAAGACACCCGAGCGGAACATTTGCCCAAATGTTCTTCACCGTCCTGAAGTAAGGATTTTGGAATTAAACAGGAATGAAATAACCTCATCTATTACAATTCACACAAACACACAGATTGAGAGTTCTTTGAGCCTAGCAAGTTGGCATCAACTGATAATGGTTTTAACTTTATAGAAAGTGATTTTTGTGCCCACAGATGGTGGTTCCTGTGAGCTGTCAACTTGATAGACTCTACAGTCACCTGGAAGATGGGCCTCTGGGCATGCCTGTAGGGGGTTATCTTGATTGTGTTAATTGAGATGGGACGATCTGCCTACTGTGGGTGGCATCATTTCCTGGCTGAAATCCTGGATTATTAAGTAGAGAAAGGGAGCTGGGCAGGCACATGCCTTCATCATTCTGCTTTCTGACTGGATGTGATGTGACCAGCCTCTTCAAGCTCCTGACTCTGACTTCCCACCACGATGGACTGTACCCTTGAACTGTGACTCAGAATAAACCCTTTTTCTCCTAAGTTGATTTTGTCAGAGTATTTTTGTCATAGTAACAAGAAAAGAAACTAAGATACAGCTAAGTACAACAGTCCTTTGATCTTTGCTGTCATTTCAACTCTCATTTTCTGACTGTGCCCTTACATAATAATGCTGGGCCTGTTCAAGAAATAGCATTGATGTCTGTTGAGCCCTTTTTGACTCAAACCTCTAGGATAACGGGCGCTTCACTTCCTACCTTGAACCAGCACAATAGATAGACGTTAAGCTTATTAACTTGAATTAAAAGATGAAGTTGATTCCTAGTGACAAAAATACCAACATGTCTTGCTGTCTTATGGATTAGCTCCTTTAATTCCAATTTTACAGATCAAAATGCTGAAGTCTTACAAAGGAACCTGCCCCATATCTTAAGCTAGGAAATCAGAATTGGAATTTATTTCTATCTGAGGTCAGCTAACTAACTCTGGGCTATAGTAATCTTGCTTCCTTATTCTGAGATCTAGTCCAAAATAGACATGCAGATGCTCCAGATGGGAGGAGTTCAGCCACCTGAGCGATGCTTGTTTGCACTCATACTGCAGATTCCAGGATCACCCTCACTTATTTCCAACCCAAAGCCACCTGAGCTTCCGCTAGACATCAGCCATGTGGTCCTGTGGGATACTAATTCTTCCCCCTTTGGGTCAAGATTCTTTAACCTGACACTTAAAGCAAAGGGCCTAAAACACTGCAGAAAAATGCACTGTTCATACTATCATTAGGCTTGGAATGAGAAGATCACAGTCACTAGTCATAGCCCCATCCAAACCCAGCTGTGGGCTCCTAGTCAGGGTGTCCTGTTCAAATGGGGCAGGTAGAAGCAATAACCCTCATTTCATCTTTCTGATTTAAATGGGGTGATGTCCTGGTTAAGACAAGTACCAGAAATACTTAAAAAGAAAAAGCCCATGGGGAAAGAAATTACAATCAAAGTTGGGTCTGTCTGCTTAATAAGCCTGTTTCTAAAACTAGTTCAAAAAACTGAAATAGGCTTTCCAGTGGTGGGGAAACTTTTCCTTCTGAGTGCCAGTTTTGGATGGGAGGGGATTTCTGGGGTGCATTAGCATGCTAATTACTGGTGCAACTTAGAGAGTAGTGAAAGGTGTTCCAAACTCCTATCAGAGGACCCCTCCTGATGTCCTTTGATGTCACTCATTTCCAGGAAAGGGAAAGAGCCAGGTATTGTGTTATCCCCTTTGTTCTGCTGTGGTCAAACACCTCCACAGAACTAAAGCAGTGGTGTGAAGATGAAAGCCTGTCCTTCACCTCAGGAAATGGGGCTCTTCAATTAAACCTGCTGCAATACCCAAACCAGAGGAACACACTGTTGGTGGGGGAAACCTAGTAATTGTTTTTTCCTTTAGCTTTAGTCTGAAGTTTTCAGTTTGCAACACTAGAAATCAAAGGCACCTTTCTAATCCTTTCAAAAAAAATTAATTCTAAGGTTAATAAGCAAAGTGGAGTGTTGCTGTTGTGCTGGAACCTGTTTCTGAGTTCTGGTAAACTCTTCCAGAGGCACTGCATTGCGGGCGGCATGCCTTTGCCTCTGAAGCTCTGCGTCCCTGTGACACTTTGATGTGGGACATGTCCTTTGGGTCCTCGGCTACTTGAACTCAGACCATGACCATGACAGTCTCGGCTGGTTTCTCCACTCATGTTCTTGCTGCTGCCTCCAGACTGACCCCACACAGAAAGTTCATCTGGTCCTAATTTCCACATAGGTTTTCTGCTCACTCTCCTGAATATGGAGTGAAGGAAACTTAACAAATGCGTTGTTCAGTGGGTGTCGTAGTGAGGCGGGTATTGCCTATAGCATGCATGGGCACTGCTCTGTGTTTTATGCAATGCTTCTATGTATGTGATTCTTTAACCTGACATGGAATTGGCCTCATGTTATACCAGCCTGCCAACCAGAAATGTCACCAGCTGACGGGAAAAAGAACACATTGGTATTTGAGAGTGAGTCATTCTAAGCATGCTGAAGTGTCAGGAGGGACACCAAAGGGAGCTGTGAAATTCTCTCGGGGGGGGGGGGGAGATGGCAGTTATGTGGCTAGTTTTAAATACAGACCATAAAGCTGTGAAGGTGAAGCCAGTAATAAATGGAGTTGGTTCCCAAGCATGATCTAGGAATCCCAAACCAGTAGCCGTAGAACATTGTTGCCTGGTACCACAGAGCTGCAGCCCACCTCATGATCTGATCATTTGGCCAGGAGAGATCTTTGATCATCCAGAGATCCTCTTATTTGCATGGCTGTGGTTTGCATGGTCCCTATTTGTGTGGCAGAAATTGCACCAGTGGAAATTACGTGCAAAGTGGCTTAAGCTAACCTCTGAGAACTGTGCACCTGCCAGTCTGGACGGTCTTCCTTCACATGACAGGAATTATATGTCAAAAACTGCACACAAAGAAACTCACTATCTCCCAAAGACAAGGGTTATTTAATGAAAATCTAACTGCCAGGCATGGGATAGCTCTGTATGGGTCATTGGTTAGAGAAGTCACAGAGGCACTCAAAACAACACAGCCTATTCCCATTACTCTTGGTTGTCCAGCATAACTAAACAGCAAGACCCTACTGCTGAAGACATCACCCAATTAGTTTGCGGGACATTGAGAAATCAATCTCAAGCTGACCAGGAAACTCTCCTGGCTGGCCAGCTTTTGTAGTGCTGAAAGGTGCTCTGTAGACTGCTGGAGCAGAAAAGACATCCAAGTCTTACCCAGTGCTGTACCCTGCATGCTATAACACTGACCTGCCAGGCAAGTTGTGCCCACTGTTTTAGTAGTGAGATGATGATTGTGGGGGTAACCAAGAACTTTCTGATTAGATAATGCCTGATCCTAATGAGGAAGCTCATATCTGGTAGTGTAAACCTGGTCAAAAGTCCATGATTTGGGAGGTCATAGGCCCTAGGAGGGAACCTATTGGTCGTATTTTGATAAACGGTCTTAAGGTTTGTGTTTATAACCACAGATCTGTGCTGCTTTCAGCCTTGGTCAGAGAAGCTTCTTTTTGCAGTGAGCAGTAGTTAGGGCAGAGACTCAGAACTGGTCAAAGTGCTGAGAATAAGTAACTGTGAGTGCTCAGCCATAGATGAGTTAACTGTATTAACCTCCCTCCATCCAAGTCTCAAAAGGAACATTGTGGAAGAATGGGAGGAAAGAATTTAAGAGCCAGAGGATGGAGAGGAGACAAAATGCTTTCTCTTCTGGGGGCTGGACAGATGGCACAGTGTTTAAGAGCACTGATTGCTCTTACAGGGGACCTGGGAGGGAGGGAGACTCACTTTTCTTTGGGGATATGGCCACTGATAGGTTGTCCATGCCCCAGTGGGTGGTCACATACCAATTTGTATATGGTTAGCACTAATTAGGCACGGTGGGCTATTAGAGGTGATGATGATGATGATGATGATGATGATAAAGGACATGAAGTCAAGAGAAAGAAAGGTTGGTGGGTCCCAAGAGGAGTTGGCAAGAAGCAGGAGGTGGAGAAGAACAAAATACATTGTATACATGTATGATTTTCAATAAATAAAAATATCATTTAAAAAATAAAAACTGAACATTGTAACTTAAGAACAAAAAGGAACAAGAAAGAAAAAAGAAAAAAGAGGCCATACCATAAAAGTAATTTTCCAAATAGAGTCCACCAGCAGTCCTGCCGCCTGCTGCCTTTTACAGCATACTCAATAAGCTATTTTTCCTATTTTGACCTGAAAAATAAATTTGTCTGCTACTTTCCAATCCCTTCTCCACTACTGAGGCAGATGCGTGGCTCCTATGTGCTTTTGTTCTTAAAATCAAATAGAAAATAAAGATAGGATGTAAGGAGAAAATCGTATTTTATTTGTTAAGAGTCAGTCACACTTTGGACCAGAAACAGCCAAAGTGTAACCTGCATGCAAGGGCTGCAAATGAATCCCTACATGACATTCCTAAACCAAATATAAGAGAAACACAAATTATGCTGGGCATGGTGGCATGTGCCTTTAATCCCAGCCCTTGGAGGCCAAGGCAGGCGGATCTCTGTGAGATCAAGCCCAGCCTGGTCCACATAGGGACCTTCCAAGTGGGCTGGGACTAGGGAGACCCTGTCAAAACAAGACAGAAAAGAAAAGAAACAAAAAGTAAGAGTGAAAACCCCATTCTAAGAAACCTGGCTGTATTCTGACCCTAAACCACACACAAAGGAAAGGGAGTGGGCCTTTACTATGGCCCACCTGAGTATAAGAATTATAGATCACTGATACTCTAATGAGATACGATTTCCCTGGCACTCAGCTCATATGTTTATGTAAAATGAATGGGGTTTTTCATTTGCAAATAGAAGACACAAAGTCAGGGTGGCAGTGGTAAGGTGAGGGTGGAGATGGGGGAGGAGGCCTGAACATAATCAAAATTCATTGTACCAAATTCTTGAATCAATAAAATTTCTCCTAAAGAGTCTCACTTTTTAAAGCAAGACTGTACCCATGGAAGTTGTTAATAGGTTACATCACTAATTATAGCAGCTTACCTCCTCCGGGTTGTAGCGTTCTGTGCTAAACACCAAATCCACTTCACATCCTTTTTTAGGGTCAACCTGAAACACAGAAATTCATGCCGAAGCACCATTAACATTCTCATAGCAAGGGTCGTCTTCGTGGGGTACTGTGGCATCTCAATGGAGCTGCTGTGTTTACACCTCGATAAAACGGTAATTCTTCAAAAGGAGAAAAGATCTCATATTTTGATCTGAGTATGGTGTTCTGTTTGTGGTTTGATACCTACTCACAGAGGAAGTTGGAAAAGGGATATGGTGTATCCAGGGTGGAAGCTGACTTTGTTAAGAGCATCTGTATGATAAACAGGTGTGCTGGGGGGCGGGGGGTGCTGGAGTCAATTCCTTCATTCCCCAGGTGTTCTGTGTCTTTCCAAGGCCGGGATCTGGGTGCTCAGGCAACATCAACAAGGAGAGTAGCTGAAGGCTCATCTTTGTGTCATTCTTGGTCAAGTAGAGAACGGGCAACAAATGCAAAATAACACATTTTCAGGTATGAGCAAGTAAAGAACGAGTGGTGGTCAAGGAAGTGCCTGGGACAAGGCAGTCTCCAAGCTGAAAGCTGAAGGACCGTAAGGAGGGAGTCGTGTCTGATCAGGGTGTGAGCATGCCTGCAGGTAGACCCACAGGTGCAGGCACGAGGTGGAATTGCCAACAGATCTTCAGCCTGGGACAAGCTGGCAATAATGAAGGAGTCTTCAGGTCTTATGACCCTGGCTATAGTCTGGATTTTGTGTTCCCTAAAGATCCATGTATTAAAGGTTTGGTCCTTAGAGGTGCTGTTGGGAGATGGTGGAACTTAAAGAGATGGGGCCTAATGAGACAACTTCGGGTCATTGGTAGACACCCTTGAAGAGGACTGTGAGACCCCAATCTCTTAATTTTTCTTGATTTTCCTTGCTGGCCACAAAGTGAGCAGATTTGTTCAGTCATATACTACCACTGTGATGTGCTGTCCCACCAAAGGCCCAAACACAACAAGACTAAGTCATCATGGACCAAAACTTCAAATAGTGAGTTAAAAATTATTTTCCTTTTATAACTTGATTATCTTGGTCATTTGTTATAGTAACAGAAAACTGACTGACATAGTCTCTCTGTTGCAGTTTTCATAGGCAGGCACACTTTCTAAACTTTTGAATTGATTACAGTGCATATTTTGGGGGTAAATTTATACTATTTAGAATTTTACTAGTTGCCACCACTTAAAAATTATTTATTTTATGTGTATGAGTGCTATGCCTGCATGTATGTAAGTGCACCCATGTCATGCAGTGCCCACGGAAGCCAGAAGAGGGTGTCAGATTCCCTGGAACTGGAGTTTTGGACAGTTGTTAGTTGCCATATAGGTGCTGAGAATCAAACTTTGGTCCTCTGCAAGAGTAGTCAGCGCTTAACCGCTGAACCATTTCTACAGCTCCTGTTATTTTGTTTTGCTTTGTTTTTTGAGTCAGCGTCTCCTGGTAACCCCAGCTGGCCTGGAACTTGCTATGTAGACCAGGCTGGCCTCCATCTTACAGAAATCCTGCTGCCTCTACCTTCCGAATGCTTTGAATGCTGGAATTAAAGGTGTGCACCACCATGCCTGGCTACTTGCCACCATTTTTTAAAGAAACAAAAAGGATCTCTGTGAGATTGTGTCCAGCCTGGTCACCATAGTGAGTTCTAGACTACTTGAGGCTTCAGGGAGACACTGTCTCAAAAAGACTGAGAAAAGAGAAATGAATACTATCTAGACAATAAAGGAATTTTGCATTGCACAGAGCTGAAGTTATTTCACATAATCTTGATTAAGTGGGATTTTGGAAATGTCAATTTCCTTTGAATTTTGACCCAAGAACACAATAACCAGAGTTATATTAAGTAGATCATATATTGTCCATTGCTACTCTTTTTTTCAAATATTTTTAAATTTTTTTAGAAGAAGCATATCATTACAGCTTTAATATGCTCAATAGCAGTTTCCAGAGCAAAGCTCTTTCAGAAGTGGCTATAAAATTTTTAGGTTCTCTGTTGAATTAATACAGTTATACAATATTGAACTCAGTATAAGCCCTGTAAGACATAAAATTGAATGAGCTTTTAACCTTTAAAAAAGATCTCCATTTCATTTTAAAATATACTGTTTCTTACAGAAAGCCTCATTGTTTTTGCTACTAACACTGAGATGTTGGCGCATGCATCTCTAATCTGTATGTGTCTGATTATTACTAGTCATAATTGGTTGCACTTGGATCCTTGGCACCTGTGTATGTCTATAAAGTCACCGGGTAGATTTCAATGGTAATGTTTATCACCTCTACTAATTAACATGACGTAAATTTTTATGCTTCCTCCTCAAATATAATACATTTTTAAAAATTTGTTGATTTTTTTTTTGTGTGTGTATATCACACAGAACATCCCAAACCATCTTATTCAACTATATACCACTTCCCAGATGGCACCCTCCCATAGCCTCCCTCCCCCGCACTAGAGCCCTTATACTCTGTTATCCCTGCTACTGACTGCTGTGTGGTCGGCACCCCCAGCCATTCCCCACCACTTGCCCTTCTGGTGAATCTAGTCAGCCTTTCTAGAGGTCTTTGTTTTAGGAAGGTCAGCTGTTCCTCATCTAGCAGCAATCAGTTGTCAATATTCCTTTAGCTAAGATTGGGGTCTGCTGTTCATTTTCCCAGTTCTATGCTGAGTTACTATCTGGGAGTCCCTTGGGCCACCCTGGCCAACAACTCAAAAGAAGGTATCTCCTATCTGGCATTGTTGCTTGTTATGTAGCCTTTAGCTATACATATGGACTCCATCCATAACTACTTTACAACTGTAGAAGGGGTAGGGTTGAATGGCAATTATTTACATAGACAATATTCAAATATATGAATGTATAGATGTTGCTGGAAGACAAGAGGGTATCCAGGAGCACAGCACACACAGCAGTTTGCCTAGGTTCATTTTTAAACTCTGAGCATGTTACCAAACACACAGAGAAGTCTGTCTGTCCACCCATTCCCTATTGGCCACTTCCTATACCAAGCAGTGACCATCCTGACAGCCTTCCCATGAACCTACCTCTAGTATAGAATCATGAGAGTAAACAGGTGGGCAGTACAGCCAGCAGTGGGGCTGAGGGCTGCCTGTGTACAGAGTTCCAGCTTAGGAAGGCTTTCTGTAGCAGGTGAGGCCTAAACTAACTTTAGCCAGTATTACTCGGGCAAAAATGTGGGGACAAAGAGTAGGAGTTGGCATTTGGGTGGGGGGTGATGAGAGCTTGCAGAAGGTAATGCTCCTGCTTGCCCACAGGTTCTATGCCTTTAAAGACTTGCTGCTCTGGCCCTGGGACTCCTGCTCCCTGCATGTGCCCCTGAGGACCTGTTCTGGGCCTGGCATGTTCCCTGAGTTTCTGAGTCTTCCCAGTGCCCTCATCCTCAGGTTTCCAGCTGAGAGGGGCCAGCTGGAGGGGAAGCCAGGCAAGAGAAAGGCAGGAGGGAGCTGAGCTGGATGGAGAGCATCTGAGATGTTCGGGAGGACTGAGGCCACTGAAGCATGGAAGTAGATGTGATCCTTCAAGGATGACCTGTAGAATGAGATGAACCCAAGGGACATCAGCTTTCTATCGTAGCCAATCAGCTGATTAGCTGACAGAAACACTCCAAGATCTTCCTTATTCTTGATATAGCTGCATATTTTATAGAGAACTTAAGATGGTTAATAGAATTTGGATTTCTGGGTTTTGCTTTTGTTGTTTTTGTTTTTAAACACATGGAGCAAAGTAGGGTCCCAGTAAGCTCTTCCTTGTGAGGGGAAAAAGCAAGCAAACTGGAACCAGATTCACAAGGCCCAAGGCTGAGTCAGTCTGGCCCTTTGAAGACTTATTTTTTTATTTTTATTTTTATTTTTTGCTTATTTAATTGGCTTATTTTGTTTCAACCAGGCACTCTTGAAACGTCCACATTTCTTACAAAATAGGATTTCAGTATTTTTGGTTGTGCTTTATCATGTATCAAGGCACTCAGTCTTTTTAGCATCTCCCAAAGGTCTCTCTGCTCCTTCTCACCCTGAGTCACAAGTTCCAATGCTGCTTTTCTGGTTGAGGCGAGATAAGTCAGCACCAGGCAGGGCTGCCTTTATCTGCATGCTGTGCCCCTGCCATCTGAGGACTGCATCGACATCCTTGGTTTGAATAGCGATATTCTGTGGTAAGGCAGCCTTTGCTGTTCAGCAGCACTAGATCCAGGATTTATTGTCTACCATATCCCAAGCCCTGTGCTAGGTGCAGGTTACAGCAGGCAAAACAATAGTACCATCTGTCCTGGGACAGCATAGAGAAGGACTTATTATTTAATAAGCTGCTTGTAGACATGATTATTTGATTAGAGTTGACTTATGAGTTTTGTAAGGAGAATTGATCTAGTCTAGGGATTTGGGATGTGACATTTGAGTTTAACTCTGAAGATTAAGGAGGAATCGGCTTTGGGAGTGGGGGAGGGAGCTGGTGAGTCATCCCACACTGGGAACAGGGGGCTGAAGGGCCTGAGGAGCAGCCTGTGGAGCCAGAGGCCAGAAAGGCTAGAGTCAGTGCCAGGAGAGCTGACTAGGTGGGCAAGGGCTGGCCCTGCAGGTTACAGTGAGGGATGACTAGACAAGGAGTTCTGAAAGGACCCTCTAGCTGGAGAGCAGAAAACAGGAGCCACAGCAAGGTTGTAGCTGGGCAGAACACTAGAGTGTGCAAAGGAAGTAGATGGAGGAGTAGGACCTTGGGCCAAGGCAGGGACCACAGATATGGATGGACGTCCATTCCGGGCAGATACAAGTCCCAAGAAGGTATAAAATCAAGTTATGCACAGCCATGTTATGCACAGTGATATTTGGTCAACCATGGGCCTCATATATGTAGTACCATAAGATTATTACAGAGCTGAAAAATTTGTATTGTCTAGGGACATCATAGCTGTTACCACAGTGCAACATGTCACTCAAGTGTCAGTGGTGACACTAAGGAAAACAAATCTATTGCACCACCAGTTGTATAAAAGTGCAGCATACAG